TCGACCCTTAAGGGGGGATTTAATAATGGATGGGGGAAAAATAAAACTTACTTTGTAATGTAAAAGAAGCTGCAAAGCTTTTCTATAAAAAGTTATCCAACAATTTCGAATAAATATAGTCCCATAGTCAGCTATCTTTGAGTACACCTGGATGTGAAGGCTCCACACTTCACTGTGAATAAGCTATAAATCTATTTAAATTGTATTCAAACTCCTGAAGATTCCAAGATACAAAGTCAATGCTCCTCTCTGGGTAAGCCACTGGCAATTCTGCCACCCTCCAGACCATTCCCTTTCTGCCTCCCTCTGCTGCTCCTGCTGATGGCACTGCCATGGAACAGGCTTATTGAGCAGAATATTGTTACAGGACGAGAGGCCGAGTAGACTCCTTTTAGCAGGGTTCTCTCTCTCTCTCTCTCTCTCAGAAACCATTTTGTGTCCCACAGCCACCACTAATCAAAGGAAAACCAAGGGATTGGAATGAGCAGAACCATCAGCAGCTCACAGCATCCACCATATTGGATATATACGTATGCTATGGCCCTATTCATGGGCATTTATGATGCTTATTATGATTGTGCTTCTCTCGACTGCGTTTGGCCATTTATTAAAAATCCATTGATGCGCAGCACGGCGGGGTTCGGAGATTCGAGGAGATGAATATCGCATTCGAGGCACGCATTCACACGCTTTTGTGTGCCCTGCCCTGCCCGCCCGTACCGATTTATATATATATTTCTATCTATGAGTTTTCGGTGCGTATCCAAATTCCCCATGGAATCGAAATCGAACCGAACGAAAACCCAATCTCTGTACTCGGCAGCCTTTGGCGGCATGCATTATTATCCCATTGTTTGATTCCTGCCTCCTAAAAATGCTACTAAAATGAAAGTCATTTTTCGGTTTTGTGTATTTTGAAGGAATTTCTTTAATTTCACCTTTCGCACGTTTAGGCAGAGAGTTTCATTAATTTTAATCATTTTTCTAGCATTTGTTCCTGTCTCGGAATGAAGTTGTTGGCATTTTGGAGACATTTCTCTTCAGGTATTGTCCTGTCCTGCCAGAGGATTGCCTTGTCATTGGACAAGGCATATGTTTCCTCACACATTCTACTTGGGATCGTCTGTGGCACTCTTCTTCCTTCCACTCTTTGTGTTAATTAAGTTGCAAGTAGCAGTATCTCTCAGATATTGTACTCTTTCGCTTCGCTCTTGTCCGCCCGCCCCAATCAACTTTTGTTTGTATTTCCCAATACTGTTTTCTGATTCTGTCTTCCATTCTATGGGGATTGTATATCCCCCCATCTGTGTGTGAATCACAAATCTGATTACATTCTATCATCGATTCGATGCTTTTGAAATTCGTTTTGGTTTGTTCTTTTTTTTTCCTTCTATTTTTTTTTTTATTCCGTTTGACAAGTTTTTGTTTGGCATGACTTGGCTAGAAGAAGTTATGCTCTTATTCTCAATTATGTTATAGATATTTTTGGGTTGCCTTTTAATTCCATTATGCAATCAGTTAGGCTGCTGCCAAGCTACGCCAAGTTTATTGACCACAGAATCCAAAGAAACCATCGAAAAAAAACACGTAGGTAGGATTTGTGGGAACTGAACGTTGAAAGTTCTTTTGTGACATTTTTGTAGGGTTCTTAAATGTTCTAAATAGTTTTTGCAGCTATAACCAATCCAAAGCTAATGAAATATATATCATTTCAATGTAAATTAAAATTTTTAGCTGGGAATGTCATTAAAAATTGAATATGTTAGTCATATATTATGTAGAGTCTAAATTTAAGCACGTACTTAGAAAAGATTAATCAAAGACTGCTTTTATCTATTTTAACTTATTTCTAAACAAGAAATAACATGGTAATCCCCTTCAATTGTTTTGAAATCTCTTTAATCTCTAAACAAAGGTAAATGAGGGTACCCTAATAAAAGTAGAATTTCATAGTTTATAATAAAAACCCCTCAAATTACGTGCTTGCAAAAAATTCTGTTTCTTAATAGCTTTTTGGTCGCATCTTATTATCATGTTATTCGTCGTACATTTTTTCTGTGTGTTTCCTGTAGGCAAAGAGGCCACGAAGTTGTCTTAATAATATGTGTATGGACGACATAGGATCTATGCTAGATCTATCAATATATTTATGTACATCTACGCTCCTTAAAAGATCCTTTAAGACAATCCATTCCTTAGTTTATTTCTAGTCGAATTTCTTAAAATATTTCCCATTCTTTCATTAGAACCTGCATTCAAAAGGCATTCAACAGAATATTAGTAGTATTGGAAACCTAAAAAGTTATCATTTAATTTCCTGTCCATCAATGGCTACCATGGGTTTTCCCTCTTATCAAAAGAAAAACAGATGAAAATAGTGATGAAAATTATTACAGAACATCTGGTGCATGGCCTACAGGGCTCTCTGTCTCTGGCAGTGACGATGCCACTGGTGGTGCACCTATTGAGGATCTGTCTGTCTGGTGGCCTTCCCCTCACCACCACTCCCTGCTGTTGTCTGGCCCAAAAACAGAATGTGGAGTGGAGGAGGAGCGGTTCAAATTCTACATGGTCAGCATTACGCTACAAATTTACAAAAAAAAAAAACAAAAAAAAAGGAAAATTTACATGCAAACAGACGTAGGGGATAGAGCGGAAAGAGGGGGCGAGTAGACACTGACTGCAGTCCTGAGTCCCAGGTCTGACTGAGGTCTCGTTTGGTCTAGTCTGCTCCGGGCTCTCTGGGTCTGGCTTGGTCAATGATTTTTCTGCTGCATAATCGTATCACTTTCAAGTGTTTTCGTCTTGCGCAACCTTCTTTCTGTTCCCCTTTCTCTCTCTCTCGATTCCTACTTCTATTGCCTTTTGGGCCAAAAACTAGTTGGCAATTGCATAATTTTGTGTACTTTTTTTTTGCCATTTAATTAGCTTTTAGCCTTGTTTTCATCCATAGAATTCCGAAGAAGTGCTTGACCCAATGAGTGCCCTGCATTGCTATCGGCTTTAAGGATTATAAAAGTTTCTTCACTTGTTTTCGTAGTGCGGGTTTTTTTTATTCAAATGAACCACTATTCAAACGCATACTGAATAGTGAATACCCATTCATAAAGTTCATTCAGCGTCCATTCAGATTTGTGGCAACTCATTAACCACAAAAAATGGGACGGAATAGAGCAGAAGTCAAGTTAAAGATAATGTAAGGCGACAGATATATGGGAGACAGACACACACACACACATATCGTGTAACAATGCGAGTACGAATAGTGTTGTAGGAGAGTTGTATCTTCATCCCCCACACTCTGACTTTGGTTTATTTTTTAGCAACTTCATTGTTGACACTATCCAGCGACGCAGATCTGTCCTGTCATAATTGTTGCTCACTGGTTTTTGGTATTGCTCTGCTTTTGCTTTATTACTGTGGAGGTTATGCTTCTTTGCCAGTGTTGGTAAGTGCTTTAAGAGGGCACAAAAGTGAAACTAAAGAAAAGGGAAAGCTTGTAAAAATCCATTCTTGTAGATTTTGACAAAATCTTTGGGAATGCAATATTCTAAGATCATCAAAGATTCTAGAATTCATAGTTGTTTTTAGTTTAAAAGATTGATCAAATAATGTGGTTAGCATTGTTTAGTGTTGAATGAAATTAAAGTTGTTTAAGTTTCAATTTGAAGCAAATAAAAGCGTTTAAACTGTGGTTTTAATCCACATTCAATAAATGGAGTATAAGACTTTGTTTCGTTTACGTTAGGATTTTTCAAGTAATTTACTAGTGTTGGTAGACTTTAAATGATGGAAAAATATTTTCTTAAATAAGAAAGGCAAACCCTTAAATGTAAAATTGTTATTAATATTCCCTTGATTTGTTTTTGCAGTCTTTTGTTTATTTGAGTTTAGCTTCATAAGTTCTACCAACCAGTGTTGGTGAATAAGTAAAAAGTAAAGCCAATAAAGTAAAATTTGTATTCAAGTCAAAATGATCATCCATGAAGATCTTTCACCGGATACAACTCTTTCCCTCCCCCTACTCTGTCCCTCTCTCAATCAATCGCTTCAATCAGGCACCGCTTCTGCTTCTTCGTTTCTTTTCTGTTTCTTTTTTTTGCGCCCCGGCAACAATTTAAACTAATTAAGTTGTAATAAAGCACTCAAGAAAATGCTTGAAGACGCAGAGAAGTAAAAAAAATATATGATTAACCAGCCAAATGTTTTGCTTGTTCAATATACGAGTACGAGTATATTTCTCTGTTGCTCTTGCGCTCTGTTTCCTACTGTTTCTGTTTCTTTTTTTTTTCATCTACAACCAAAAATTATACAAGCATCCAATCGAAATGTCGGCTACCCTCTGCCCTTCATCGATGATGCTGCTAATTTTTTCAGAGCGTACACCGAACAGCGATGAGATAGATCCCATAACCCCCTACCGCCTGCTCCTCGCTCTCTCTCTCTCTCTCTCTTTCTCTTTCTCTCTCTTGTTTTTTGAAGTTCACCAAATACGTTTTTTGGCTCTTTTTGGTTATAGCCTGGTCTATTAGTTCAGTGGCCCATTAATGTGCATACTGCCTGCTCTTTTCCACATTTATTTCCTTCTCTATTTCCCTTACATTTTTTGATTGCGGTAATTGTGTTAATTTTTTGGGTAAATAAGTTTTTTTTTTAATTGGGAAGAAAACTACAGAAAGAGGGAGGGGGTGGATGGATGGATGGATGGGTGTCTATTGGGGTCACTGTTGCTGGGGAAATTGCCTCTGAATTGGCCTCGTCGTAAGCGTATTTATGCCAAATATATAATTGGCTTGATAATGTCTGCTATGAGCTATACGAAATATAGATAGGGCACTGGCACCGGAGATATCAACTCAAGAACAAAAGGAAGTCCTCTTCCATTTTGAAAACACTTGACAATTGAAATTCAAGTTTCAAAGTAAGTTTCGATGAAACAAAACATCCAAAGTTCCTTACATCAAAGCTTTCCCTTTGTTTTCCTTTTATAAATAAATCAACCAACGAACAAACGACATCCCAAGCATCAAATATCAGTAGCAGTCAAGAAAAAATATATATATTTCATAAAGTACAATTTGTAAACCAAAAATCCGTTCAAAATGTGCGATTCGGACTCCAGTGATAGCTGCATATCATCCTTGATATCATCGCGAATCTCTCGATCCTCATCCTCTTCGCGGTTGAGTGAATTCACAGATGCACGAACCGAGCTGCAGGATATCTACCGGGACATAGGACGACACCTGGAGATAATGATGGACACTTTTAGGGGTAATGCCCTCATTGAAGAGGGGATCGTGGAGCAGCTTGAGGAATACCAACAGAAAGTGCAAGCCATCGATAAAGTGCTGATGCGGAAGCGCATGAAGGTGGCCTTCTTTGGGCGCACCTCGAACGGGAAGAGCGCCGTGATCAACGCGATGCTGCATCAGCGGATCCTGCCCAGCGCCATGGGGCATACAACGAGCTGCTTCTGTCAGGTGCAGGCCACCGATGGGGCGGCAGAGGCGGAGCATGTGCGCATCGAGGCGGAGGATCAGCGGCTGGAGCTCACGTGCCTGCGGGACCTGGCCAGCGCCCATTCGCCGCGCTCCCTGCCGTCACGCACGCTGCTGCACGTGAACATGCCACGCAGTCGCTGCCCTCTGCTGGATCACGATGTGGTGCTCATGGACACGCCCGGGGTGGATGTGACGGCCCAAATGGACGACTGCATCGATCGGTACTGCCTCGATGCGGATGTCTTTGTGCTGGTCCTCAATGCCGAGTCCACGATGTCCCGCGTGGAGCGGCAGTTCTTCAAGGAGGTGGCCCAGAAGCTCTCGCGCCCCAATCTCTTCATCCTGAACAATCGCTGGGACATGGCCAGCAGCCAGGAGCCCGAAATGGAGCATCTGGTGCGGGAGCAGCATGAGGAGCGCTGCCTACAGCTGCTTGTCGAAGAGCTGGGCGTCTACGCGAAGGAGGATATGGAGGAGGCCAGAAGCCGCATCTATCACGTGTCGGCCCTGGAGACGCTGCAGCTCCGCATGGGTACCAAGAGGGAGTCCACGGCCGCATCTCAGCAGCGTCTCGAGGAGTTCCTGCGCTTCGAATCGGACTTTGCCGCGTGTCTGGCCCAGGCCGCACTCAAGACAAAATTCGAGAAGCATTTGCTGAGTGCCAAGGATATGGTGGGGCAACTTTCGCAGCAGCTATTGGTGCCCCTGCAGAACACCCTGCGGGAGAAGGCCACGTTGGATGACCTGCGGCGGACGATGCTCTCCAACGCCCTCGAGGCGCGGTCCATCGAGCACGAAGAGCGGAAGGTGGAGTTCTTTGCCAGCGTCCAGCGGCTGTACAATGAAGTCTATGCCCTGGGCCACCTGGTGATTGTTGAGCAGATCTCGCAGGTGCCCGCAGAAGTGCACTCCTTTGCCCTGCAGCCCTTTCACCCGCATGTGCCGCGACAGCTGGACCACTACCAGCGCTCCCTGAGCGCCCATCTGGAGGATATATTCACGGAGCAGGTGCTCGAGCGACTGGCAAGACCGCTGCAATCGAAAGTGGCCCTCCTCGAGCGGCAAGTCATGGCCGAGGTCACGCCCTGGGAGCCCGTCTTCCGCGTCGACTGTCAGACTTTGATGGAGACCTTCCAGCCGGATCTGAGCTTCCACTTTACGTGGGGCCTGTTCCGCATCTGGCGGCGCATCAGGGGAATGTTGGCCATGCCCCTGCCGGAGCAGATGCCCCAACGGCCACCTCAGAATGGCAGGACGAGACCCACGTTTGCCCTACCAATCATCGATCAAAGCCAGTGGCAGACGCTGGCATCTCTGGTGTGCTCTGAAAGCGCCGTTGGAGTTGTTCTTGTAGCTGGAGTTGTTAGTCGTTCGGTGAACTGGCGCGTAATTCTCGGTCTGGGCACCGCAATGGCCGCCATATACCTCAATGAGCTGCTCCGCTGGACTCCTGCCGCTCAGGAGCGCAGATTTAAGGCCCAGTACTCGGAGTTTCTGCAGCGGAAACTCCGGGCAGGCGTGACGCACATGAACATGGGATTCGGGCAGCAGATCTGGCAGCATCTGATGGCGGCTGCGCGACACTTGAACGCTCAGGCGGAGCAGGACATACAGGTGCTGAGATCACAGATCAAAGAGATGCTTGATCGCATCGAATCGAACAACGAACTGCATTTCAAGTTGGGGGAATTCCGCTCCAGTGCGAGTCTGCTAGAGGATCGATTGAAAGCATTCCAGGATCTCTATATGGGGAGCAGGATCTAGGATCTTAGGATGGGAAAAAGGTTTTAGGAAATTGTTTTTGTTTCATGTTTCAAATTTCAAGAAAATGTTTATATTTCGTTGGGTTCTTTAATGTTTTGAATAAAATTTGCGTTGCTTATATGCATGATTTGTAGAGAAATGAATATAATATTGTGTGATATTGTGATATCATGTGTAGAACTGCTGAATGCAGTAATCTGATTCAAGTAGATGATTATTCCCATAACATCTGAATCTGAAACCTTTACATTTCATGCACTACAAAGATGATTCCATACGACTATGAAACTTTTTATATTCTCGCCAAAAGACCTTGAAAACGTTTCTTAGTTCATTGAAAAAGGTAACGCAATTTACGATTTTCAAGCTTTCTTTGACCTTTGTGGAAATCCATTTTCATGCAAATTTCCAACCACATTTTTTCTTTATTTTTTGGGCTGTTGACTGCTGAAATTACTTGATTAGATTGTTTTCTCTGACTCTGCCGCTTGATGGATTGTACGAGACACATGCACAAAGATACAAGCACACGCACACTCTGAAATGCTGGCTGGGAATAAGAACAAGAGAGAACCAGTTTGGCTTCTCTTTTTTTCTCCTTTTTTTTTGTGGATAAAAAGCCAGAGTTGGAGTTGGAGTCGCGGAGTCCGGAGCTGTACAAAAAAGCCTCCATGTTGAAGCACACACAGATGCAAATTTAAGCCCCGCCTCTCTCACACACACAAACACAGAAACATGCACAAAAAGAGAGCCGCATTGCGCATGAACAAAGGCGCAGCAGCAAAACCAGGGAGGAAGCTCATATAGTTGTCCCGCTCACACACAAGCAGAGCCCGACTTGAGCACGCCATTTCTCTTGCGGTGGTTGTGTGCACGCGCTCTCTCCCTCTGCTTCTGCCGACGCTGGCCGCCATTGGCGCTGTTCGCTGCTCGCTGCAGCCGCTGCCTTTGGGCCCGGTTCGGGGTCTAGAATCGTATTTGAATTTTTATAAACTCTCAAGAAACGTTGGACGTTGGACGCCTGACGCGCGCGCAAACCGTAACCGAAACCGAAAACTGCAACCCGTAGCTGTAGACCGTAGCCACGTCCGTACGTCGTGTGGGCGTAGACGCAAACAAGGACTTTGACTCCCGTCATCAAATCGAATTCACGGACAAACCTGTCAGCATTGGCCAGGTGACATTCCCCCGAATAAAAAGTCCGTGTGCGCTCAAGTCAAGTGAGGCCTAAAAATAGTCTTTAGAGCTGTTCTATAAGCGAACAAAAATACAATAAAAAAAAAACTGTGTCAAACATTAACAAATTACAATAAACTATTACGCTTCCGTGTGCGAAAAAAAAAGTGAAAGTCTGCTGCAAAATCAAGTTACCAAATCGCAAATCGACAAATAAAAATAGCTCTCGAGTGGCCGACCATTGTGCGATTCTTAAAAAAGCCAAAAACCTCTTTGGCCACACAATCAAAAGGCATTGCAAAATAACTTAAACCCATTTTCCAACACAACACACATCCATCCTAACAATCGAAATTGTGTAAAGAAAAATAAGAGGTTGGACAGACAACAAAAAGTTAACGTCTGTCTGTCTGATCTGCAGCGGAAACAGCAGACATATCGGTGGAGGAGTGTGTGCCGGTGGTGTCTCTGGTATATCTAGTTGTGTGTTGTGCCATTGTTGATTCTGCAACATTTTGGCTGTCAAAACGTTACATAATTGTCAAAGTTTGTTTGTGGGCCAACAAAAAATATCAACAACAATCAGCGATTTGTTGCAACAATTTGTGTTCAATCTTTTTACAAAAGACAACAACAATCAACAGTGTGTTTTGTGGTTTTGTGGTGGCGCTTGTGTTTCTTGGATTATACACATCGAATGCATATATTTTACAGTTATCATCATCATCGTCATCTGTAAGCATTGCAACAGCACTACGTCTGAGCCAAAGGTACGTAAAGCCTGGAGCTCCTCAATGTGGGAGAATACCAACAAAATTATGATGGACTTTAAGCGAATTTGATCTCGAACGAAAACCCACTAAAATGGGGACATTTAACTGTACTCTAAAGGATATATATTTGTAGAGGTATCCATTGCGGATTGTACTGAAAGAGAAGTTATACAACAGCTTTTTCAGATATGTACTCGTAAAAGTAGCAGACCGTATATCATATTTCGGATAGAAAAGAATCTTCAGAATTCGACGCCAAGTCAATGCTTATCGTATATGTTTCCATGGATTCCGATCACATAGAGGATTCCAAAGAAAAATTTTAAGATTTTATAGAGAACACTTTGAAAGTTTGGTAGCAGTCACACAACATCAGAAAAAAACCACATTTATGATAACACACAGCTTGTGTTGTGTGATTGCATTCTCGGACCCGAGACACCTATTTTTGTAGTCCCTGTCGCTGCTCGCCGAAGAATAACTCTCTGAGTAACGCATTCTATTGCAATGGAAGCAGATGGGAGTAAGGGCGTGCCCACAGCTGAATGTCATTGAATCCCCTTTGATTTCCCTTTCGAAAATGATACTACCAGTTAAAGTGTAATATATCTGTTTAAATTTAAATACATTTATGCACTTGAAAAGGGTAATCTTTCCTTGAAGTAAATTTCGTACCAAGTCGTATCTCTCGAACACACGAAATTCAACCCCTTCAAATCAAAGACTATTCAAAAGATTTCTCAATATTAGCACAGAGTAAAAATCTAAGCTGAGCAGCCACTACAATAATCCTGCCTTCAGCCTTAAGCTTAACCTTCGATTAGGTCTATAATCTATGCAAACACTATCTATCCATAAATATGTGTACTACCACTCTCAATCTGTGTAAATACCAACCCCTCGTATCGTATGTTAAATATCAAGTAGCCGTCGGGTGTTTAGTGTTCAATCAACCCCATTAGCGGCTCCATTACGGACAACTGCGTTCCTTCCTTCCTGTAAACATCCTGAAAGGTAACCCATAAGTATGGTAGCCCAGCTACTCCTTCTTCTATCATTTCTAACCAATTGAGCAAACAATTGCTGGGGGCCCCCATCAACGCCTCTTTTGACCAGGGCTCACACCTTGTGTCGCCTAATTGCTGGTGACAGACGGCGGACAGTGGACAGTGGACACAGCGGACGGTGGACAGTTCCTGGTCGAAACAAAACAGAAACCACGAACCCAAATCGAATAATATTTTCGTTTGTAGTTAAAGCCACAATGCGAGCGAACCAAAACAGAAAAAGAAACGAAACGAAACGAAACGAAATGAGAGACAAACAATCGAGGAGCGGGCGAGCTAGCCCAAAAGACCAAAAACGATAAGCAAACAATTCCCAAAATAAAAACCATTCGATTCCATGGACAACGGACAACCCACACGACAAACACCACACAAAATTAACGGACCACGAACTGTTACCAAAAGAAAACGAGGCAGAACCCTCCTAAAATAACAGGCCAAGAGAAGAGATCCCAAAAAAAACATGGCCAGAACACTGGAATAGGCCCAAAATGGTTGTGGAATTGGAATTGGAAGCGCAGGGCAGGGAATGTGCTGTGCTGGTGGTTTTGTAACCAATCGTAAGAATAACAAAATGTTTTTTGGTAGAACCAAGAAGCAGATCTCCTCTGCTGCCCGGAGCCATCTGGGAATGTTTATTCTAATTTTTGTTTGACCCAACTCAAGTGCCAAGCCAAAGGTCGTGAGGCGTCGTCGTCGTCGTCGTCACAGCACTTGAGTCAGTCTCCCTCCCTCTCTCTGTCTTTATCTTTCTTACCTTTGGGCCAAGTTGCGCCCTCTTTTACCTTTACACTTTATCTAGATGTTTGCCCACGTCTGGGTTTGGGACTGGATCTCCCTCTTCTAGGAATTCCTTACCCATTCCCGATGTTAAGTAGTCATTTTCTGATAGCATTCAATCGAAGAATCCCCTCAATTTCCTTGGAATTTCCCCAATGCAAATATTTGACTTTTATCAATATTTATGCAGGAAAACCATTGTTCAGATATAAATACTAAACACCCAAAGGGGGAGAAGCTTTAATCAATGTTTAGGTATAGTATTTGGAGTTCTCTCTCAGGCTGTCATAACTCATCATTAATTAAAGAGCAATCGGTTGGGAGAGTGGAGGAGGAGGCCCCGTAGGGAAATCTCGTTCATTTATTGCAATATTTTTCAGCTGCTTCCGTCAGACGGGCAGAGAGAGAGAGATCTTTGAGAGATCACGTTTATATGATTATGATTAATGATCATCGGGCACTCGACTGCACTCCACTCCACAGTCGGACTTTAGTTACCGTCTATCTTTTGTGATAGACACAGGAAAAACTGCTACTGTTTCCAGCCCCAGGAGATTTTTTGGGCCATTTTCTTGTAGCAGAAAATGGATCGCCCTCTGGGGAAATGAAAAAGGTAGCTCCAGGGACAGGGGCAATCCTATTCAAATGATCAAAATATTTTTGTATATTTTCCTTGCTTTTGATTCGAAAACAATAATCATGTTTGGGTCCAAGGGGAATGGAATTTTTCACGTATTACAATTATAGACAATAATATTGAAGAGATCTTTGGAATACAACAAACAAAAAAATATACATATGTCTCGGGAACTGGGAAAGTTAGTAAAGAGAAAAACCATAGAATTTCTATTCTTACTCCTTCCTGAATCTCCAACTAACCTTCTGTTTGTGTTCCTTTTTCTTCTACAGGTGAATACATTCGCTTGCCCCTGGATGAGCTGTTGAACGACGTGCTCAAGCTCTCTGAATTCCCAAGCCTCGAAGACGAGGTAGGTCTTTTCATACCTTGGAAAACACTAACAAAAATTTTTAACACTTCTCTCCAATCCTTTAGCTATCTAACGATCCGGCTGCTTCGACATCGCAGGCTGCTGCTGCTTTGAACGAGAATCAATCGCAAACGATCACTTCTGAGACGGGCGAGGATCTGCTGACTGCCGAAGGAGTTGCTGTCCAGCAGCGAAAGATCAATACAGACGGCAGGAGCAACAACAGCACGAGCAGCGACCAAAGCGATTCGAGCGACTTTCCGCCCCTGTGCGACTTTGAGGATCTGCAGAGCTCCGTGGGCTCGCCCCTCTTCGACTTAGATGACGACGCCAAGAAGGAGCTAGAC